TGTTTAAAACGATGAAAACACTATTTTTACCCTTAAATAGTACTTCGGCGCAAAACATTGCTAACAATTGCTTCCCATATGTAATGTAACTTATTGTATTCATTACACTTTCAATTGTATATCAATATCACATTTACTATTAATTTAGAAAACAGTGATTGGCTTTTTGCACTTCAGTTTCAAATAATTTAATAAACTGTAAATCTTAGAGATTTAAATAAACTTAAACTATTTACATGATTTTATTTTTAAATTTTATATCTTTCATGAATGATGTAGTACTGTATCATTAGCAATTAGTATATATTTTTGACTCATTTTTAAATTCTTTAATAAGATTTGAAGATATACCATAGTAGTGATACTGTATTTTGAACATTTACATATTTGTTATTATAACTGTAAAGTGGCTTATTCTGTACATATTTGCATATTTATTGATTGAATTAACTGTAATTTATATTGACTTTTATAAGTGAACTAATAAATAGTACGATACTTGCGTAATGCCTGTATTTATTATGAATAAAAACTTATGTTATTTATCAAGAAATATCAATGATTACTTAAATATTAATATTACAACAATACTATTAAATACTAGGTACTAAATATGTTATTTGAAATATTATATTGGGTTTGAAATAAATATATTTTGTTTATACCTAATAAATAAAGTATTGAAGTGATTAGTTATGACACAAACATGTTGATTGTGAGGTTATTTGCTATAATTATGTCATTTGATAACTCATACAAACTTAACGGTAAACATAATCTGAATTTCGTTGAGTAGTTGTGTTCATATGGTTTCAAATTTGGCGCAAACCATGCGAACAGTGATAGAGAGCGCCACTGAAGCCAATGGTGGAGACGATTGTGTTTAGACTCGAGTGAAGTGAGGGCTCGAGTTAGGGCTCAATCCGTGTCTCAAAGCAAACAAACAAAACATATTGTGATTGCAATTAACAGTGCATTCATCGGGTGTTCATTGGTTTGATTGTCTCGTGCACTAAGAAGTGATCGCTGGAACCGATGGCTTCGTATATAGAAGTGGCCGAAGAGGAGGGCGAAGAGGCCATTGAGATCCCATGTGAAGAGGACGCCGCCAACTCGATGTACGGCCGACCGGTTCACTATCACCACCGATGACAGGCTGACCACTCATGATGACTAATGTGTTGATGTCTGTTGCAGATTGTTGTCTACCCTGACCTCCCTGTTCCCGGGCGCCAGTGGTCTCAAGTATAGGAACGCCGACACCGGAACCATACGAGGCATACGTCTGATCGATGGGCGCCTCCAACCCCCAGACCAGGGCTGGCGGTCTAATGCCGTCTATTACTGCGCTTTCCCTAAAGGTATCACTAATTGTCTTGTGATGTGACGTCTGATGTGCTGAACGTGTGGTTCATTTGTGCAGAGAATAAGCGCAAAATCGATGATCAAACGGAGACATCGATGGCTAAAACGAAGCGAATGGAAGCCAAGAGTCAGCAGAAGTGTTCAGATCTGATAGTATTAGGCCTTCCGTGGAAGACATCGGAGAGTGAATTGAGAGAGTATTTCGAGACATACGGAGAGGTAGTGTTGGCTCAGGTGAAGAAGGACTCGAAGAGTGGTCTCTCGAAAGGCTTTGGATTCGTGCGCTTCAGTGACTACGAGGCGCAGATCAAAGTGGTGTCTAAGCGGCACTGCATCGACGGCCGCTGGTGTGATGTCCGCATCCCCATCAGCAAAGAGGGTCTCGGCTTCGACTACAAGACATCTGAGTTCAACCGCAAGATATTCGTGGGCCGACTCTCCGAAGACCTATCGACCGATGATTTGAGGGATTACTTCGCGAAATACGGCGAAATCTGCGACGTCTTCATCCCGAAGCCGTTCCGGGCGTTCGCTTTCGTGACGTTTTACGACTCGGAGATCGCACAGACACTCACTGGTGAGGACCATATCATAAAAGGCGTGTCAGTGCACGTAAGTAATGCCGTTCCCAAAGTGGAACTCAATCTTCCGGGAGGTTATAGTGGGAAGAGTGGTCACGGAAGGTATAGTCATTCCAGTGGTGGTATGAATGGATCTCATGTCTCGATGAATGCCATGAATAGTTCGCGTATGAATGATGGCTATGGAGTCCATCAGAACTATCATTACTCACCCTTTGACACCAGACGTGCCAATACAGGGCACCGACAGTCCAACCCTTATATCAATTCCAACAGTCCTTTCGATCGGTTCGGTCCCACTTCTAGCGGAGCAGTCGGTAGCGCACCGGCCGCTCACCAGCAGATATGGAGCGGCGCTTTAGGCTCTCACGTCACTCAACGCAACCAAACGAGTGATTTACCAAATCTCAGCTCTTTAGGCAACAGCTTAGGTATCGGTTCCCAAAACGCACTCAACTCTAACAACAATTCACTCAATAATTATGGCATTAATTCCCTGAATATGAACCCACAGGCGGCGGCCCTACAACTGGCCGCTGCCATAGCTAATCAGGCGGGCATTGCTCTGTTCGGTCAGTCCACCCAAAACCCATCCGTCGGTAATAACGGCGTAGATGGGGGTCAGTCAGCATCTATTGGCTGGCCATCAGGCAGTGGTGCAGGCGTTCAGAGCAATGATGACGTGACACAGAGTCTGTTAAGCGGCGCTCAAACCAATGTGGCGGTCAATGCGTCGACCACTGCTCCCCTCACTTCCCCTTAAGATTAAGATTAAGACACTAAAGACCTTAAGACCTTAAGTTTGACACTAAATCTAAAATCTCTCGTTTTCTTACTTTATATTTCTCATTACTTCACTTCAAATTGATTTGTATGTTTGCGACGATTCATAACTTGTGTATTGAATATATGTGTGAATAAAATGAGTGAAAATGAATGCAATCCTAGTGTTGTCCACTTATTTCATGTCTTAACTGCTAATTAAAATTGGGATGAATTTGGTTGTGAAGTATGTGTATTGGAACGGATGGGCAATGAATTCATAAGTATGTGATGAGCTGTTGGCTGTTTGGCAGAGATGTTAATGAGTGAGTCTTTCCAGTGAGTCCTCGCCATTTCCCTAACAAATCGCTAATTTACTATTTGTTTCACTTCAGATCACTTAGAAACTGAAATGCTTTCATACAAACCAAACTTATTGAACCCTGTTTGATGGCAATCCATTTGACCACAACTTCGAAACATTCAGGTTTTTATTGCAATTGTTTTGTGAAATAATCAATAATTTTTACTTATCTTATTTTAAAAAGTTTTGACAAATCGGTGTGTGCTATAAATACTGTACATGTTACTGGATTTGTACCGTATTACAGTTATGCAATTAAATACACGTAATATTACAACACATGTTATAAAATATAATGAATTTATTAATTATGATATTTGTTTCAGTGGATTCTGGATTATGATGATAA